GGCAGGTGTTTGCTGAGTATGACAGCTTCTATGTGGAACCAGAGAGCGACTGGTATCGACTGCGGTTGGGACTGTATCACGGCAATGCAGGGGACTCCCTCTCCTGGCACAGCAACAAGGCCTTTACCACTTTGGATCGAGACAAAGACAGCTATGGCGGTCTGCTCTTCCCCTGGTCCTACCTGATTGCTATCTGTTACATAGTGACATTTCCCTTTTAACATCTTCATTTTCTTCTGTTGTGTCATCAGGTAACTGTGCTCATTATCAGAAGGGAGGCTGGTGGTATCACATGTGTGCCCACTCCAATCTGAATGGTGTGTGGTATCGTGGTGGACACTATCGAAGCCGGTACCAGGATGGTGTTTACTGGGCAGAGTTCCATGGAGGATCGTACTCCCTTAAACGGGTTTGCATGATGATCAAACCCAAATAACAAGCTTATCTTATGGACATGTGCAAAGGAAAGACATGATGTGGATGATCTTCACATATGTGCAGAAAGAATAAAACAAACTCTATTTGTAACTCTACGTTTAATAAAAAGAATATTTTAAAATTAACCTAGTCTGTGACATGTGCATGAAATGAATAACCGGATGATGACTAATATTGACTAACTTGAGAAATCTGCTGTCGGTCGTGCAACTTCCTAAAATAATTTGTATTGCTCAACATTTGTTTTTTTTAAATTGCATAATTTTTCACTCCCATTTGGACGAAAAACCAGGGGAGAGAAACAAAAAACACTTTGTGAAAGACTACATTAAAAAATTACATAAAATATGGGAGGAGGACAACCTATAAGCAACCGTTACTCCACAAAGGGCTGGCTGCAGATGTGGTTTTGTATTTTGGGCTTCACAGAGTTTCCTGTACACAAGGGCGTTAAATTTCCTCTCTAGTCTTTTTTTCTGCCTGTGAAACTTTTAGTCGGTCATCATAAGTAGGATCTGCATCGAGCTGACGTTCATTTAACCCAGGTCCTGAAGCTGGATAGTCTCTGGATGCTCCTGAAACACTGCTCCATTCACCTCATTCCTTCTGCATGCTGTCCAAGCATGCTGCCTGTCAGGATGCTGAGCATTCTCATCCTCCTCTTTTCACTGTGCAGTGAGTAATGATGATGCTCTGCAAGAACTCTGTGTGTATGGGAAAAACTATTTCATTGAATTGTTAGGAATAAAAATTAGGTTTTTAACTTTTAGTGTCTTGATGGTGTGATCAGTTTTGATACTGGAATGTTATTAGTGATGGTAACTGCAAAAGCTAAAACTAATAATAAGATCATGTTTCATGAAATACTCCCCTTTTAAGTTTTCATGACTCTATGTGGACTTGTGAAAAACATATTTCTTTTTGGTTACATGGTTCAGTAGCTTTCAAAACAAACCTTAGCAGTAGTGACTTGTAGTAATTATTTTAAACTATCGTTTTGTTGTGTGTTGTTTTGACCATTGTACGGTCT